GCCGACAAGAGTCTGCCGACAAGAGCCTCCAGACCATTGTGATCCCGTGAACCAGTCACCAGCCGTCGCCAAAGGCCACAGGTCATGTTCAGTGGTGTTCTGTGCCGTCCTTTGGACGTATGATGCAACGCATGGCGGTTGTTTCTGATGATATGGTTTGGTTTGCAGTGTGCCTACCTGATCATTGACGCTCGTTACGCTTTGGAACAAGCGTTAGAGCAGATATGCATGAATATGCTGACGATCGTACCGATTGCAGTGTGCAAGTGGAGTGCAGGAAGCTCCCTTCTAGGACAAGCTAGCCCGATACCAAGCATTGCTCCCTCTGGTTTCGAGTAGTCGACTTGCGCCAAAGATCCGTCTGCAACCATGGGGATAATGACTACAGCGAGTACGCTTATGACGTGGTTCATGGAATACTGTGATAGAGGACAGCAATTATTCTGGCCAGATGCATTGGCAGATACGACAATCATGTGGAGGGGTGCCAACCGGTGGTGACAGCATGGCGATGAAACTTTGGATCCAGAGTCTGTCTCTCAAGACCCGCAGTTGAAGTTTCGTTGTGATTGTTCGGTGTCCCACCTTTCTGTTTGAGGAGGCTTGTGTGTGTTTCTGTTTGTAGATTACGAGTTCTGCAGTTTCTCACATGTGCTTCTGGATTCTACGATCGTTGTATACATTTATTGTGCAGCGTAATGGCTGCCCAGAGATGCGAATACACCTTCTCGGGTGTAGTTTCAGAAGTGCGTGTTTGACACTAGCTCACACGCCAACGTGCTTTGAGACAATCATACTTTTTCTGTTGCACACAGCCTGCCTTCTATGTATACGTGTTTGTCTGCACGCGTATCTCTGTCACGTGCCGTTATGTTCAAAACGTTTCTTGGCCAGCTGTCTGGCGCCTCGCACAGCGCGAGGCCAGCCTCGCCCAGGGCAGCAGCTGACGCTCAAAGACATGCCACGCTGGTCAGGCCAGACAGTGTTTACATACATCAAGAATATGCTCGAGTGACATCGTCACGTGTCTGAAATTATTATTCAGTTCCTTGTGTCGCCGCCTTTCGACGCCGCCGCGATGTCTGGGCAGTACCTTGGATGCTGTCGTGGGTGCTCTCCAGGGGCCTCGCAGGGATCCATGAGACCTACGGGGATCAGGGTGGCGTGCACAGGAGCTAAGAGAATTTCCCACCCTTCCAGTGTGTGCTTGTGTGTTTGTGTGATTGTGTGTTCGTGCGTTTGTGTGTGTGCTTGTGTGGTTGTGTGTTTGTGTGTTTGTGTCACAAAGTTTGTGTGCTTGTGTGTTTGTGTGCGTGTGTGTTTGTGTGTGTTTGTGTTTGTGTGTGTCAGTGTTTGTGTGTTTGTGTGTTTGTGTGTGTGTTTGTGCGGTTGTGCGGTTGTGTGGTTGTGTGTTTGTGCGTTTGTGTGTGTGGTTGTGTGCTTGTGCGTTTGTGTGTTAGTGCGTTAGTGTGCTAGTGTGTTGGTGTGTTTGTGTGTCTGTGTGATTGTGTGTTTGTGTGTTTGTCTGTTTGTGTCTGTGTTTGTGTGTTTGCGTGCGTGTGTGGTTGTGTGTTTGTGTGTCTGTGTGTTCGCGTGCTTGTGTGTTTGTGTGCTTGTGTGCTTGTGTGTTGGTGTGTTTGTGTGCTTGTGTGTTGTTGTGTGTTTGTGTAGGTGTGCGTTTGTGTGCTTGCGTGCTTGTGTGTTTGTGTGCTCGTGTGCTTGTGTGTTTGTGTGCTTGTGTGCCTGTGTGCTTGTGTGTGTTTGTGTGCCTGTGTGTTTGTGTGTGTTTGTGTGTTTGTGTGTTTGTGTGGGTGTGTGGGTGTGTGTGTGGGTGTGTGTTTGTGTGGTTATGTGTATGTGTGTGTTTGTGTGTGTGTTTGTGTGTGTGGGTGTGTGTGGGTGCGGGTGTGGGTGGTGCCGGGCTGGGCGTGGGTGCGGGTGTGGGTGTTGGTGTGGTGGGGTGTGGGCTTGGGTGTGGGTGTGGGGTGGGGGTGGATGTGGGGAGTGGGTGTGGGTGTGTGGGTGCGTGGGTGTGTGGGTGTGTGGTGTGTGGGTGTGTGGGTGTTGTGGTGTGTTGGGGCGTGGGGATGTGTGGGTGTGTAGGGGATGTGTGGGTGTCTGTGGGCCTGTGGTGGTCGTGGTTGTGTGTGTGGTGGGTTGTGAGGGTGTGTGAGGTGTGGGTGTGTGGGGGCGTGGTGTGTGGGTTTGTGGGTGTTTGGGTGTGGGGTGTGTGGGTGTGTGGGTGTGTGGGTGGGTGGGGTGTGGTGGCGTGGGTGTGTGGTGGGTGGTTGTGTGGGGTGTGGGTGAGTGGTTGGGGGTGTGTGGGCGCGGTGGGGGTGTGGGGTATGTGGGTGTGTGTGGATGTGTGTAGGTATGTGTGGGTGGTTGTGTGTGGGTGTCTGGTGTGTGGGGTGTGGTGGTGTGTGTGGGGTGGTGTGTGGGTGTGTGTGTGGGTTGTGTGGGGGTGTGTGAGGGTGTGTGTGGGTGTGTGGGCGTGTGT